ACACACTTCTAGATGAGTGGCGGGTTCTATATATTCGGGTGACCGAGTAGCCTTCGTGGACCCTCGAGAATAAATATAACTGAGCCTAGTCTCATACGAGTATTTGCGATCTCCCTCATATGAATCTTCTTTTTGTTTTATCGAAGTTTTGGGACGGGGCACTCGTGTTACTTTTCCTTTCTTTCGGGATTTCCCCAGGAGTTTTGAGGATTTTCTTTTACTTGAGTCTTTTTTTTCATTGATTTTTCTCGAGTTTCTCCGCTTTTCCTCGGGTTTCCTGGACAACGTTTCTTTCGGACTTTGCTTTTTGAAATACATTTAGGTTTGCTATACTCAAGGAATAGCGGATCTCACGGGCGTACATGTTTGCTTTACATTTTACAGCAATTAATTTTCCTGTTTTTACCTGCTACTGCTCTTCTTATACAGCATGTTATACCATTTATATTTCTACCTGCTACCGTACCATACAGCATGTTATGTTATTCATGTTTCCACTTGCTACTGTTTCTTCTCGTATAGCATGTTATACTGCTCTTGTTTTGTCTACTACTGTTCCACGTGCATTCTATTGTTTGTTCCTACATCGCACACTTTACATTATATAACTTCAAACATGTTTCCTTTTTGCATAGGATGTTTAGAAAACTATAACCATAGGGCCGTTTGATTTAACACTATAACTGGACGCCCTAGAAAACTTAAACTCGTCATGTCGGGGAGTTTGGAGCTAGCGCAGTGGGAAGCACGGCCATCTTCAACAGCATAACATGTCTTCCCCAGCAAAACCATCTCTTTTCCTAGAAATTAAACAACAATCCATAGAATTTCGACGTTGTTTGCCTAACGCAACATAAATCCTACCTTTTCTTTAGGCATTCACATAGCTCTGCTGTACGATTTAAGCCCTAAACTCGTTCTAGGCTCCGAGGTTGTCGTCCGATACGACGTAAACCCTCATATTTTCTAGGCAATTTGTGTGGCTCTGTCACACAAATATAAGCCCTAATTAAATAAAAATGGCAGGATAAAACACTTTAATAATTTCTTCTTAAAGTTGGAGCCAAATCATAGGATAGACTGGGAAGTCACTGAGGTTCTCCTCAAGATCTATGGCCTCCCCTAGTTTCTCTTCATTTGGATTCCTCAACAATGTTCCAGATTTGAGTCTTTCCCTTTTCACGTCTCTTCGTCCGATTTCGTTGAAAAGTCCTATCCTTTTGACTTCTTTGAAGACATTACCCCCTGATTTTTATCGAGAGTTTTCTTAGGTGACCTAGGTCATTTAAGATGTAATTAACTATAGGGGTTTGCCCTTATAGAAAGTTTTTTCGAACCCAGCTTAAAATAAACCTATTTAATTATTTATATTAAATAGGGGAACTTGTTTGCAAATAAAATATTTTCGCAAACCAAACAGACGTCATATATTAGTCATATGTTTTCTTAGTTTATTTGATCGAGTCTCACCCTCAAGTCTTGTGTTTATCCCTCGGGGTAGATACAGGATTTGAGGTAGAGTGCTCTTTCATTTAAACTATGAAAAATATGAGGTCAGTTTGATTTCATATTTTTCTAAAATTATATACATATATATACGTAAATTAAAACGTCCTTCCGAAGCGTGCGACGAGATTTCGATTCCAGCGACCGACAGCTTCTTACAGGAGACCCCCCAAACTTTCTTTTTACTTTCTTTTAATGCCGACACACCTGTGCCATAAACTATGCATGGAAAGGTGCATTCATTTTCAAAAAGAATATTGATGGTGATATTTTTTATGTGATGTAAAATATTTGAGTGGTAAATATGAATGTTTATATAGCTGTAGAGTGATATGTATGTAAATGCCACAAAAAGTTTTAAATGTTTTGATTTAGATTGAACGATCAGCCACCTAGGAGAGGCATATATAGATGTAGAGTCGTACTATGCTCCCAAAAGAATAAGTCCAAGAAAATGCACAGCAAATTAGGGATGAAACAGAAGTAAAATGGCGTCTATTCCCAACTTCACTAATTTTCAAGCAATAACATGTGTTTATCTGGGAACACTTCATGGAGAGCAAAGCATTGCCTCTATAATTGCATGTTCAACAAGAGATGTAAGAACTACAATGATGGTATTGGGAAAATGAAAACATTCACAAAATCAGATAAGAAAGTCGACTTTAGTACAGTAAACTGAAGGACTGAATTAAATATTCAACTAAAGGTTGGCTGTTGTTCACAAATCTTTTAAAGTGCAGCTGTTCAAGTTGCTGGTTCCAGATATAAAAGCATCTACATGAAAGCTCAAGAACTACCAAAATCAAAAAAATAAATAAATAAATAAATAAAAACTAATAATCTGTTGATTATATAGAAAAATTTGCAGGGAACAAGTTAATTAGGTGCCACAAAAATATAAAGAATGAACGGCTTGACACACCTAACTATACTGCTTTGTGGCGCTAAATTGATGATATCCTTTCTATATGCATAAGGAGATTAGTTTACTTGGTCTCATTCTTTGTTTTGACAATTCATTCTACTATACTTAGTCCCTGCCTTAGTTTTCATACAAAAAAGGTATAGATTGTCACACAAAAAAGAAGACGATGAAGATGAAGTTACTAAAATCAACAGATATATCACAAGTCCAACTAATTGAAAAATTGTTAGCACAAAACAGTATGCTTTGCATCTCAAAGTTTTCATAAATTTCAGAATGTAAATAAGAAATTGATGATGTAGAACAAGTTCCTAGCACCAACAAACAAATATCCTGTCAAATGAAATTTGAAAATTTTGAACACAAAGCAGTATATTTTGCATCTCAAGATTTCCACGAATTTTGAATTGGATATAAATTATTTTTTAAATAAATTTCATTTGGAAGCACAGTAAAACTATAAACTACAAAGCTAACTAGATTAAATTCTTAAAAAATCACAGTCCACAAGGCAAGCAAAAAGATGCCTACCTTTGGAACAGGGGGTGCCTTAACAACACATGCTTTGGACAGATCATTGCAAAGAAAATTGATCAGTGAATCAAGTGAGGGCTTGGAACTAAATACAAACTCGGCAACATCCGTATCAGAGTATCCCATGATCTGCAAAATAGAAAAACAAATTGAATATGTGCAATTAATCAACAATAATAAAAAATTACAGAATTCATGTCAAGTATCACAACAACGAATTAGGCAATAGATAAAGTAGGAAGCTCGTATAGAAGGAATGGGAAATGGGGCAAACTTTCAAGATGATATGTGCTATCACAAACATCTTTCCATATTCACCAAGTAACACCACCACAACAACAAAGCATTAATCACACTACGTGGGTTCAGCTACATGAATCAGTTTTCTCCATTGTGTCCTATATAGTGTCATATTTTCATTTAGTTCTACTAAATTACGATCAGTTTTTATATAATAAGCCCAAGTCTCCTTAGGTCTACCTCTGCCTTTTTTAACATAAGTCAAATCTAAAACATCTACTCTCCTAATCGGATCATAAGATGGTCGACGTTTAATGTGACCAAACCATCTAAGACGACTTTCACTAATTTTGTTTGTCACAGAAGCTACATCAACCCTATCACAGATATATTCATTTCGCATTTATCTCTAAGTGTAAAACCACTCATCCACCTAATCATTCTCATCTCGACAACACTTAACTTAGTATTATGCTTCGCTTTTAAAGGCCAACATTCAGCGCCATAGACCATTGCAGGTCTCACCAAGTAATACCAACAAAAAATAAAATAAAATAAATGAGGTTTTCTGCCTTTAATAAGCAGTTTAAATTGATCACTGAATCAAAGTTGATTTGTTTCAAACATCAATGCATATCTACCATTTTCAAAAAGTGACTAACAACCAAGCGATTGAGATATACTGGAATAAAATGATTAACAAATCTCGTTACTGGAATCTTAATTGCTAAGAGCATGCAAACACTTCAAGAAAATAATATTCAAATATCAATATTAATGAAGGAAATAGATCTATAAGAGCTTCGTAATTAAGGTAAATCACATTTACGAGTCACCAAACATTATATGGGTGAGGTCAATGGATTATAGGCTTAGAAAATAAAGTTGAGATGGGATAATAGTTTGGTTTTATCATAAGTAAATCTATTATGGAGATGATATTTGTACTAATCTAATAGAGAAAAAGATTTAAAAAAAGATCTTCAAATAGATTGTATTGGTCTTAATATGGCATATAATTGAGTATCAATAGAGCTAAATTGAAGCATGTTATAAATTTAAAAAAAAAAATTGCCGAAGGATCGTTAGTGTTACTAAAAATGTGAATGATAAAGTGATCACTAGTATCAAAAGCATCAGTCAACTAATCAAAGAGTTCTAAATCACATCAAAATTATATCAGGGGGCTGCATCAAGTTTATATATTATATATTCTGTATTGGATATTGGGATAGTAAAGGATCTTTGAAGCAGTTATTATGATATGTTATTTACATGTCAAGCGAAAACATTGTGGAAATAAGGGAAAAATTAGAATATTTGAGAAAATATCAAAAAAAGAAAAAAAAAATCTAGAAATTATCAGGCGCAAAATTAGAGGATATAACTACAGCTTAGGTGATGGTTAGATGTGAAATATTTAAGTATAGCTTGAGTGTAGAGAATGAACCTTTAGCCAAGGATATAACTTTTAATATTTTTTTGAATCGAACAAAACTAAAATAAAAAGGAAATGAAATCCCAATAAGTATAGGTTGCTCATGAATCTATACAAATTATTTGAGCTTTACTGCCTTTTTTTTATTTCCTTTCACTCAAAATCCAACATCGAAACACGATGTTATTAAAATTTGGGGGAATAGAATGGAGTGCTACATATAATGCACATGCAATAAGAAAATTGCACAAAGATTTAACAAATCATTTTAAACTGAAATTTAATCCACTATATGACATATATTTGAATGTTTAGCAATAAAATAAGTGAAAACCAAATTGAGCGTGGTAAACTGAGACCGCTGAGATAGTTGTGCAACACTCAATTAAAAGAAATTGGTAAACTTCTGACATTTTTAAAGTATAACCCATAATTTGACATCCCTCAAAATTTGATCGAATCAATTTTATAAAATTCTGCACATCGTATCGATCAATTTGAAATATAGTACCATACATGAATTTTAAACATATAAGAAGATATAAAATTATGAAATAAAAGTTTAATTAAACTTAACTAATCTTAATTAACTCCCTAATCTCTCTCTCGACACTATAGCCACCAACCTTCCTTCGCGACTTTCAGCCGTGGGAAATACCAGGTCAATCCTCATTCTGTTCGAACACAAGTAAGAGCTCTAGAATACATATCTTTAATGACTTGAATAGAATTCATAACACCTTTCTTTTCTAGAACTGTCCAAAAAACTTCTCTTGGAATCTTATCGCAAATTTCTTCTAAATTAATAAAATTTGTAGATCCTCCATACTCTTTATGTACTTCTCCATCAAACATCTCAATAAATATATAGCTTCCATAGTAGAATTGCACGACATAAATCAAAATTGATTATGAGATATTTTTGTAACACATCTTAACCTATATTCGATTACCCCACTACCATAATGTCATAGTATAACACAATAACTTAATTTCTCTATAATTTGCACTCTTGTGCATAGCATTATTCTTAAAAACAATGACCAAAATACTCTTCCTCCACTCCTCGGGCATCTTTTAGTTTCTAAAATATTATCAAAGAATTAAGTCAAGAAACTCTCAAACCTCCTAGATATTTCCACACTTCAATTGAGATATCATCATGTCTTATTGATTTCCCATTGATGGTAAAAATAAAAAGTTTTATTATCATTAAAGAAATTACGGTCATTAAGATCGATTGTATTTTCAGAAACTTCATTGAAAAGTTTATCAAAATAGCTCACCCACCTATGTTAAATATCTTCCTCTAAAAAAAACACTTTTTGATATTCATCTTTAAGAAACTTTACTTAAATTTAAATTTTTTACTTTTCTTTTATATTTGTTTGACTAGATTATCCATATATTTTTTACCTTCTTTAGTATCTAATATATTTTAAAGATCTCAAAAAAAAGCCGAAATCATAATGTTAAAAATTATTCTCTTAGACTGTCTATGGGCAACCTTATACTTTTCCCAATTCTCTAAGCTTTTATATTTAAAAAAATTTTTATAATATAATTTTTTATATTTTATCTGTTCTCGCACATTTTTATTTCACCACCAACTATTTTTATTTATAAAGCCAAGTATATGTTTTGTTATTTGTTTAATAGTTATTCTTACTTCATCCTACAAAGTATTAATTTCTTTATGAATATCCCAAATCTTGAAATTTACTCATAAAAATAATTGTATTTGCCTTTTAGGTGCCTTTATCGAACTTTATGATAGTATTTTATTGTATTTTTTATCTTACAACTCTTCATCTTAAAATCTAGAAAAAATAATCGATATTGAGTCCTTAAATTTCACTTGGAATGAACATATAATCTTTACATTCTCGACGATCTCATTTTTCTCATAAGAAAATAATAATTTTATATTTTATTAGATCTATTGTTATAAGTAATAATTTGCTCATCACTATTCTTAAATAAAATATTAACAATAACAAAATCATAAGCTAAAGCAAAATCTAATATGGTTTTAGCGTCTCCATTAATCACTCCAAAACTGTCACAACCATGAATATTTCTAAAATCATTTATCACTCTACCAATATATCCATTTAAATCTCCTCCAATAAATTTTTTTCTCAAGAGGTATCGGTAGTATTAACAATAATCCAATAAAAAAACTTTATATTTTAGCATTCTAAAATTGTTTATATTTAGTAAAAAATCAATAGTATTAACAGTAAAAAAATCTTTCATCTAGCTGTATTAATAGTAAAATTTTTCATTCATCCAGTAAAAAATCAGTATTATTAACAGTAAAAAATCTTTATATTTTAGCATTCTAAAATTTTCCTTTTAAACATATACAAAATAGGCTATAATTCTATCTCCAATTAAAAATCTTAATATCAACAATAATCTATAGAGCTATAATTTAATCTTCAATTATATTAATTTTTACAAAATTATCTTTCAAACTCTAATCTATAATTAAATCTACATCTATAATTTAATCTTTCATCCAGCAGTATTAACAGTAAAATTTTTCATTCATCCAGTAAAAAATCAGTAGTATTAAGAGTAAAAAATCTTTATACTTTAGCATTCTAAAATTTTACTTTTAAAAATATATCAAAATAGGCTATAATTCTATCTTCAATTAAAAATCTTAGTATTAACAATAATCTATAAAGCTATAATTTAATCTTCAATTATATTAATTTTTACAAAATTATCTTTCAAACTCTTATCTATAATTAAATCTACATTATTTTTAGTGCAACTCCTACATGAATACCAAAGTTTAAAACATAAAATATCAATCTCAGCATTTTTTTAACTCATTTTGTTTCTTGAATGAATAAGATATTTATTTTTCTAAAAAACATAATATCTACTAATTCCATTATTATACATGTGAGAATATTTATCCTAATATTAATTTCATAGACTAACTTCTTTGTCCACATTCATCATGATGTGGGAACCCCGACTTATTTTACACTACACTTGGGCGTCGGTGTAGTGGCGCATCACTTTCAAGAGACTCTCTATCATCTACATGATGAATTATAAGATTCATATCATGATTTTTCAGCAAAAAATTTATGAGGGTTGTCGATTACCTTACACAGCCCTCCATTTTTCATATCTAGGGCTTAGGACCCTGCAATGTCAGTGTTTTTTATAGATATAGCTTGAAGAAATATAATCAAATGATAATTTTATCATCTACAACGCAAGTAACAATATTTATTGAGCTTACAAAGACTTACATTTTCGAACGTCAAGCCTTTTTAGGTTCATGTCCATGTATGACTTCACAAATGTTTCTTATTAGTCTATTTTAGATTCTTTTGTTTGTTTTGAAATGTTGAATGCTCTATTCTTGAATTCTATTTAAAAGTTTAAAAGTTATTTTCATAATAGATTCACAGTTGCAATAGAT